AGCCAGTATGTTCATATTTCAGAACTTCCTACTAATATCCAAGTAATAAATCAGATAAAATGCAGGTTTTAATATATCCAGCTTTTTCCTTCTAATGTTCATTGGGGAAACATACATAAGTTTTACCAGGAGATTAAGGTTTTTTTTTAAATGTAGTGGTCCTGGAAAAGGTGACAGTAGGCTGACAACCCTGGAGATTAAATTCCTCCACAGAACCACTGGAGTAGAAATGGCAGATTTTCCCACATACCGTTCAATGTACCTCAGTCCTCACCTGGAAGGTCCACTTCTAGGAATGACACAGGCATGTTTGGTTTCCATTCCCATTACATCCTTGACCTCTGTGCTGACGCTGCTAACAAGTCGTTTTTGTGAGCTTGTCCATTGGGAACTAAACTGGTATTACCAATGCATTTATACATAGTTCACTGCAAAGTAACTTCTCATTACTGGGCTGGATTTGAGCTGTGATCTAGAAGTGAAAGGCTCTATCTTCCATTTCCATAGTTCTGTTCCATCAGCATAACAATCCTGAATAACAGTTCTGCAACAAAAATTCTGTGCTTTCTGGTCCAGGTTGAGACCCCCAGCCTCTTGGATTGCATGGACAGGCTTCTCTCTCTAGCAAAAGACACACAGTGGAAAGACAAGGTTTTGTCCCTGGTGAGCTTATCGCATCGCTGATATGGAACATCTTGCAGAAACTGATTGGCTGTTTTATGATACAGTGATTGCAATAAGTTATTCCTAACTGAACCAGAATCAGACTCCTTGCACAATAATGCCATGTTTTTGGGTGAAGATTTTCTAGCATTTCTTGATGGGTACAAAATTTTAGCATCCAAATATTATATTGCTTAGGTGGCTGATAAGGAGATTCCTTAATCTGTGAAATTGTTGATGGCAGGGTACAGCATCCATCAAACAGGAAAAACATTTTGGCATGTGGTTTTAAACACTGTCACTTTGCCCTATAGAGTTTTATTGACCTTAAGTTTATTTTCCCAGAAAATACTGTGTAAAATAGCTTAACCCATCCTTCCCAAACTCTGAGCAATGTACCCACCTCCTCACCAGAGCAAGTGCTCATTCTCTTCCTAATATTCCATACTTGCCGTTCTAGCTATTTAGGATCATTTTTAGCACAGTATTCTTTTCCACATCTCCCCTCTTATACTTTTCAGTTGTTAGGAGGTCTCAGTCCAAAGCTTTGTTAGTAACAGATTAGTTACTAACAGTAACTTTGTTAGTAACAGATTAGTCTTCAGTACTTTCCACGGCATACAACTAGCTGGGGGAAGTGACAACTGTCTATCTGGGTTCCTGCGTCACACAGCAAACTCTGGTCCCACTGTCCTTAAGCCACCTCTTCAGAATGGTATGTGGGACTCTCCCATGTTTTCTGAGGAACCATTCACCCCTCATGATCAAAACCTCCCGTAACAGCTCCGTTCCACTGGATCAGTGGAACTGTCAGCCTCAGGACTGGCTTTCTACTTGTAAGAGACAGAGGTTTCTCGGCTTCTGGCCCACAAGTTCTCTTCCTCCAGGGGGTTGGGATGACCACTAGTTCCTCTAATTAAAGGAGCCATCTAAAGTGACAACTGTTGAAACACTTTGTGACTATCATGTTAGTTCTTATTTACTTGTCCTTGTCTTTCTGCACCCATCACTGAGATTGCTATTCCTTTTTTAATGCCCGGTACTCAAAGGTAATTTTGATAACCCACCACCCCCGTTATCTCTTTTTCTGTGTATTGTTATATTTTCTTCTGCCAATCTCGTACTTTAGTAATCTCCATTTCAGTTTGACTTTGTATGCTCTCTTCATTCGTAGGCTCTCTGGTGATCTTTTAATTTAGCTTTAGCAAAGTAGAAATATCAGTTTTGTTTTTATAGTTTTGTCTCTGTTGTTCTTGTGCTAGTGCTGTGATGTTAATGCTGCTTATGCTACTGTTCTTAGAGCGCCAGTGTTAGCTGAACTAGCAGAGAGTGCAGCCTGTTTATTCTGTATGAGTAACGTCGAAGTCTGCTGAAAGACCACAGGCTCAGTTCAGTGGCGAAGGCGCTCGGCCAGGTTCATTGTCAACAAAACACAGCACTAGTGCCTCATGGGAACTACGGGTACCCTAACCCATGTATGCCCACAATAAGGTGCCAGCTCAGCTAACATATCATGTTATCCCCTAGGCCAGTACAAAGATGCCCCTCCCTCCACACTCCTTCTATCCATTGATACAAATAAGTTACATATTACATTTTATATGCTGTTCATTATTATCCTGTCATTTCATCCTTCTCTTACGGGGGCGTCAATGTGTTCCTGTACAATCTGTATGTAGTTACCTGCGAGCTCTGGGTGTTTTTGCTCCATCCTCTCAGGCCAGGAATGTGCTTACTTGGTTAGCTAATACCTGGCACGTTACTATTCTGCTAAGGTCAGGCCTACTTTGGTTCACCCTGGCAGCTATGCCTAAGGCTTCAGCAAGGCCTACAACCTTTATTGCTTAATAGCTAGGAGCACTGCACTCCAAGCCATATCTCTGAAGTCTTCCACCATACATGAGAGCAAACCATGAGCAGTGGCAAATAAAGTGCAACATGACGCTCCCTCATGCCTCGCTACCACTCATGTTCATTTGCTGTCTATTTTAGAGATTGTTGGGAGTATTTCTTTTTGGATACAATCAAAAGATTGAGAGATGGAATTATGAGTGAAAAGTATTTTCTCTGCTCAGTAGGATGTTGGTTTTGAGAGTCAATAATATATGGCAGAGGCTCTGGGTATCTGAGAACCCCTGACCCCGCCATAGCAGTTGAGGTCAGCTGAGGTGTTTGAGTTAATAATACTAGATTTAAAACAAGAGGGCTTATAGAAGGGTATTGTTCAGGGTGCTCAGTTCTGACTCACTCTGTTGATTTAACGGGGGAACAAGTACTTGCCTTCCTGGCTAAGTGCAAGGCCTGTCTATTTAGCTTGCTATATTCTTAAACTGCACTATGAGTTCTCTCTTTGTCTAATGTAAGGAGAGAGGAGAAGTTGTAAGATACCTTTCTTCCCAGATCTGTACTATCCCTGTTTGTGTACTGTATCAAATGCTGTATTTCCAGAAGGTACATCTTATAAATAAAAATGTAATGCTCGTAAAATTGGAGGGACAGGATGAAATATTGTGACCTTTCATGTAGTTGTGGATGACTCTTAAAATGTTCAGTGAGGCATATCTCAGAGAGGGATGGAGCCTATTCGGAAGGCCATAGTGGGAAGGGATTGGAAGGACAGTCACTATCATGACTGGATCCTTTTCAAAACTGGTCAGCTGAAACATTGTGAGTCAGAGTTTTTAAGTGAAAGCTTAGACTTATTTTTCTAAAACTGGCTTGCTGTCCTTCCTTTGGCCAGTAGATTGAAAATCAAGAAACAACTCTGTAATTGTCTAGATTTTTTTTTGTTTGCTCTTTAGTGAATAAAACTGGATATTAAATACAAAGTGAGATTGCAAAAATGGACAATGATCTTTTCTTGTGCTTCTTTTCTATAAGGATGCTAATGGGAGCCAAAGATCAAGGTACAAATAGGAACGGTAAAGTATTGGAGGAGAGCTCTGATATTGAATGCGAGGTCATATTGAAAATTTCAGTTGTCCTTTCTAATTTTGTATGCAAGACTGGCCCAAGTTATCTGAGGAACCACCTGATCTCTCATGGTAATGACTTCCTGTGACAGCTCCATTGTACAAATATAGTGGAACTGTCTGCCCCATGTGATTTGTTTAATAGACAGAGCTTTCTTGGTTTTTTGTCACACATTCTGTGTCAAGAGGTCAGGATGACCACAAACCTCAGTTCCTTCAGAGGACTACACAAAGCCCACTTCTTCAGCTCAGCCTTCCCACAATAACACCAATAAAAATAAAATTCACAAATCTAGTTCCTGTAGACTAGAGGAAATACAGTTCTTTCTGTGTGCTTAATTCTGTGGTGTGCTCCAATAAAATGGTGATGGATAGAGACACAGGTTTTATTGTTTAACTGAACCTTTTTGTGTGCCCTCACTTGCTTAAGAATAAGTTTCTTCCTTCCCAAGACTTGCACCCATTTCTGACCTCTCCTCCACGAAAGACTCCAACTCTTACCACCTTTCCCATAACCCAACAAATAGGCACCTTGAGACTTTCCGTGGGTTCTCCATCTGTGTGTGTCTGAGCTAGAGGTTATGTTTTAACAACTATGGAGTCTTAAAAGGCTGCCTTGGTTGGAGCTCAGCTGCATATTTGAGAGTTGGCATAGTGTTCATGGGAACTGGTTTTGTTCATGGGAACTGGCATTGACATTGTTGATCCTCTTTCTTAACTTTGGACCAGTTTTTGTCGCGTTTGTCTGTGGCAGTTGTCTTGTATGAACAGTTCTACATATGATGAGAATTTTCAAAAACTAAGAACAGGACTATTAAAGGGGGACACTTAGAAAGCTGAGCATTTTGAGCCTCGTTAGGTTGATTACATGGTTTTCCCCCCCACACACACACACTTCTTGCTGAGCAGCAATGAAGAAGGAAGAACCCATCCATGGGTTACAAAGAAAGGCTGTACATGATTAAGTGGAAGCATGTACAATTCTATTCTCTCTAGACAGGAATGGAAAAAAGGTGAGCTTGGTAAGAAAATGAGAGGATTTTGATGACCAAAATGCTGCTTTGATTGATGCTTGGGAGAGCTAATATGGGAGAACAAACTTTTCAGAAAATATGTAATTGAGAGTGCTTACAATATTGAAAAATGTGAAGTTTAAAACCAAAAATTGTGCAAAGACCAGCTATGTAGGTTTTTGGCTGTTTGATTATATGAAAAAAAAACGGTTTTATTTTCACTGCAGAATAGAGGCATATTTTAATTGTGACATAGCAATATGGCCAAGAAACAACTTAAAAAATTGTACCTTAAAACAATTTTACAGAATTTTTTTAAAAGCTTGCCTGCTAAATAGAACTGCAAGGGATTTTAAATTGGCATGTCTTTCCTTAATACAAGAATCTTAGCATTTCTACAAGGCATAGCTAGTGTATTTGTTGTACTGCCTTTTCATTAAGGCTTCATTTTAGAGTATCTTAATTACTCAGTCCCGAATATTTGAGTACAGATGTGAACAGATTCACTTTGAATGGTTATGTTTAATACAAGTAAATAAACTGACTTGTCAGATGTGAAAAGCCTTTCGAGAGAGAGACAGGTTTTTCTCTTGTTTGCCAAGAAAGCATGCTGAATGCTGGCACACTCCAGCTAGTACCCGAGCATGAATCCAAGAAAATAATTTACCTTTCCTCTCCTTTGTCCTGTTAGTTCATTTGTAGAATTAGTACCTACCATTGTAAATGCTGCTTTATATTTATATAGAACCCGTCACCCTATTATCACAGCTCACTCCACATGGCTTGGGTTAAAACCAGAAAACCACATATACAGAGCAAATACCCCATAACCCAACTCCCTGAGAATCCCACAGCTTTAATAGTCATAGTCTAGGAAAATCTTGGTACCTACATAGCATGCTGAGGATAGTGATAAACTAAACACTGGTGGGTAATGAAGCTGACAGTGGGGTGACAACAGAACTGGAGTGGCTAGGAAAACACCTTAACAAAGAGTTGCATACGGCATAATATCACATAATTTAAGAATTAATCTGAAAAGGTTGCAGAGCCCACTGAAAGAATGAAACTGCACCCCACTTGGGAAAGTGGTGCCAAGAAGAGTTGACTTCTTAGCGTAATGACATTGGTATCAGTGATTTACGTGTGGAAAAGTAGAAGAGGGGCATTAAATCTACAGCAAAAGAACACATATCAGTGATGCAATAGTAAACATTGAAGGGATTGTAGCAGCTGAGCCTCCAGGATGAGAAGTTGTATCACTTTTCCATGTCAACTTCTTTGGAAGTTTTGTGGTTGATCGAACATTGTCTGTGTTGGGCTGGGTGGTGAACGCTGTCTTGTCTTTGTCGTTGCTGGTGAACGCTGTCTTGTCTTTGTCGTTGCTGGTGGCGTAGGTGGTGGAGACTGTGTTATCTTTGTCGTTGCTGGTGGCGTAGGTGGTGGAGACTGTGTTATCTTTGTCGTTGCTGGTGGCGTAGGCGGTGGAGACTGTGTTATCTTTGTCGTTGCTGGTGGCGTGGGTGGTGGAGAGTGTCTTGTCTTTGTCGTTGCTGGTGGGGTGGGTGGTGGTTGGGGCCTGGGATTTGTCCTTGCTGGTCAGCTGGGTGATGGAGGTGGGCTGGCTGTGGGGGGCAGTCTTGTCCTGGGTGGTCTTATCGCCAGTGGTGGGGACTGCCTTATCCTTGTTGTTGGTCTGGATAATGAGGGCAATCTTGTCGTTGTTTACACTGCCAATTAAATGGAGCTCACATAGCCCAAGAACAAGGATAGCCAGGTGTGATTTGAATGGCATCTTGTTTCTATTTCGGGGGGGGTGGAAGAAATATCACAAGTTAAAAACTTTTTGTTTTTCTGGTGAACAGCAGACTGATCTAGCTCACTGCTCTCCGATAAACTGTTCTCATTTATCTGAATAAAGCAAAGGGAGCAATAAATTTGCTTGAACCCATCAGCTATGATTCCTTAATCACATTTAGCAGACAAGGCAAAAAATTTTGCACTTTGGAAAACTTGACTTCCATTTACTCAGTTTAACCAATTTACTTAGTTCCTTTTTGGGCAATTTTTTTAGAGAAGCATTTACTAAAAAGGCATGAGATCAATTAGTATAACATTGTCCAGTCAAAAAATACAGAATATAAGCTTCACGTGTACTTACTCAACACGGAGTATAATTATTTTACATTTTAACAAAAGGTTCTGAGATCAGCACAGAAAGTTCTCAGTCTGTAAGCAAAATTTACATAAAACACATGTATGACTAGCCAACCTAAAATATGATTCCTTATAAAATATCAAGACATCAGGCTTTGAGCTGTCTGTTTCCAAGCTCAAAATACTTAAGGTAAAGTTCACAAGCCAGGTAAAAAATAAGGAATTAATTCCATTTATTGAAGAGTGAGACAATTTTAGCAAATCATATAATTTCATACCTTTTTATTGTTTCAGATCCTCTTTAGGGAGAAATGAATTCAGTTGCTAGATATCCTTTGCCTCTGAAACTGCTGTCTCTAATTTTAAATTTCTTTCCTACTATTTAAATATCACTTCATAATAATGTAATCAAAAACCAACTAATAGCTGGCTTGGTTTCCTTGTTTACCTATGTCTGATTGGATTTCTGTTTCCCAAAGTAAATAACTTCTTTTAAAAATTCTAATCAGCATTGCTTAAAGGAAGTAAAATAACTCCCTGAAAGCATTTTAACCCTTCAAAATTTCCAAGAATGTGCTTATGCCTTGATCAAATCAGCAGCATTCAAGGAGTTCTCTGAAGTTTCTGGATATGGTGGACTATTATGTAGAAATATGGGATACTCCTTGCTTATTTAGGTCAAGCAAGAGAGCATAACCAGCCCAGAGTTTGTTATAGGAAAGGAATTTTAGAAAATCAAGCATGCAATTAAGGTACATTTTTGGTGGTATAGTGTCTCTTTACATATATCAGAGGGGTAGCCGTGTTAGTCTGAATCTGTAAAAAGCAACAGAGGACCCTCTGTTGCTCTTTACATATAGTGTGTTAGTGATGGTAAGGGATTAGATAAATTAATTTTTGAATGAGGCTTACATTATGTTGCAAATATATAACAAATCTGTTTCTTACTCTTAGCTGTGTCAGGAAAAAATTGTGGAAAAACCTCTGTTCTCTGAGTTCCTGCTAAATTGCTAACAAATTTTACAGGCATGTAACTTTCTGGCGGAGTGGGGAGAAATATGCTGATCTTACTTGCACTGCTTTTCAGCCCAAAGGGGAATTTTTCTCCAAAGTTTGGATGTGTTTGATACACGACAAGGTGTTTTTCTACTCAGTCATTACTGTACTTTTATAAAGTCTTAGTAATTTTTGAGTTCCATCTTGACAAGGGGTTAAGCCCATGACTTGAAATAGCACTAAATTCAGCTGTTACACCTTTGCATATCCATTGGGGTCAATGGGCAGCATGGACACAAAAAATTAGAACTTGGCCTAAAAGTTTGGCTACACTTGCAAGTTAGGGCACCTGGGGCTTCTTTAATGCGCTCTAACTCCCGACCCGTCCACACTGGCAAGGCACTTAGAGCACCTGGACTCTGCAGCTGGAGCGCTTCTGGTAATCCACTTCCACGAGAAGCATAACGCTTGTTGCGCCTCAGCTGAAGTGTGAACAAAGTGTGGCATTACTGCACTTTGATCGGCCTCCAGAAACGTCCCATAATCCCCTTAAGTCAAGTGGCGACTCTTGTCATTGTTTTGGAATCGGCTGTAGGAATGCGGATATCCCCTTTCAAAGCTCCGTTTCTGACATCCGGCATGCTTATCTGCTCCTGGACAAAGCAAGCCTTTAATGTGGAATGTTGCTTGCTGTGAGTGTGAGAGAGAGAGGCACAGGGGAGGGATGGTCTGAACTTACAAGACAACATGCTGACACACTTTTAGCACCCCAAAAACCCACTCTCTCCCCCCACATACACACAACACACACCCTGTCACACTCCACTCCACCCCCACATTTGAAAAGTATGTTGCAGCCACTTGAACACTGGGATAGCTACCACAATACACTGCTCTTTGTGGCGTTGCAAGAGCTGCTAACGTGGCCACGCCAATGCACTTGCAGCTGAGTGTGTAAACACTCCGCAGCGTTTTCCCTGCTGCGGTCTCCGAAGGCTGCTTTAACTCCCAGCGCTCTACATCTGCAGGTATAGCCATGCCCTCAGTGTCTCGTACATGGCTGAAGAAATGTGATTTAGAAAGAATAAGGCTGAGTGTGTGAACGTTCTGTAGAACAATATAAATAAGTATTTACCTACATACCTGTTGGATTATAATGGCTCTAGAAGAAATATGGGATCTGCTCTGTCCACACTTGAATGAACAGTTTCACTTTTCTATTCCTGTAAAACTGTATTAAAGTGTTGAAAAGCTAAGATTCAAATATTAATAGAAATATTAAAGATGAATATGTGTTACAGATCAGCAAGGGTGGGTGGAAGTGTTTTGCAGATGACAGCTTAATTTTTTTAATTTCCTTTTTGCAGTGCTTGGATTGAGGAATTAATACAGACTGAGGACATTTTTTTCCCTCATGAAAGTTCGTGCTTGAGAGCAGTGTCTAATGTCAGGCACTATACTGGTTATTTCGTTGTATAGTTGTACTAAAAAAAGTAATCCCTGATTGGTGACTGCCGCCCACAAGCTTTTCGCCGGCAAAACTTTTGTTGGTCAGGGGTGTGTATGCGTGTTTAACACCCCTGAACGACAAAAGTTTTGCTAACGAAGTACCAGTGTAGACATAGCCTTTCTCTTCCCCATCCTTTTTCCTGTTTCTCATCTCCTCTGTCCTTTCTCTGAATTTTTCCCCCTGTGGCAATCCCTAATTCCCAACCCAGTGTGCTTCATTCCCCCCTACTCCTGTTGTATTTACTAAAAAATGATCAGTGATTAAACAATGAATATTGACTCTGAAGTGTTAACATTGCTCTTAAAAGCTGACACTCTAAATGGATTAATTGGGGACATGGGAGTTCATACCTATGAGTCAGGCAGTCCATGGACTCAGGCAGTGATCGCTGCATTGATTATACTGTGTTAGCCTTTGGAAGGTTATCTCGACAGCTCTTAGGGCTAGAAGCTTTTTTAATTTAATCGTAGATTCCGGAAAATCTGAAATTGTGGTGCAGGACAAACGCAACTCGCAGTCCATATGTTTAACACTCCTACACTATGGAGATAGATTTTGCAGGGTTGTTTGTTTGTTTTTCGTTTTAAGTGTCTTTGAGGCAATAATGGTTTGTCATAAATTTTGGGTAAAATTTTTCCAAAGCACCGTTTTCAAAAGTGATTTAGGAGCTTATGTCCTGTTGTCCTTCAGTAGAATTTGGTCTCCTAAGTAATATTTAAAATTTTTAATCCTTTGTCTATTACAATTGCTAATTTTCAGCTGGTTTTGTCTAAAGTGTCAGCCTGGCAATACTAGTATATATAGTTGCAAGCTGTAACTACCGAGTAACAATAAAAAGAGTTGCTGCTAAAGATGAGCAATTAATATGCACAAACTGACATAGTGCTTAAGTACTGAAATGAAATTAAGTTTAAAAAATCCAAAATTGTTAGCATATGCATGGAAGAAACTAATATTAAAACATTTTATGCACACAGGGAGATGATGCTGTATTGTGTTTTATAAGTATTCTGAAAAATTTTACACCTGATGAAGAACATTTTCTTAGAGGTGATTTGGATGGAATGGAATGATTTTACCATTTAAAGAAAAGCAAAAACTGATTCCATTGTGTCCACACCCAGAAGAGTCAAATTGAAACATTGGTTTTGTCAGGGCTTTGTGATGTTTGTGTGTAACCATGGCAACAAGTGCTTTTAAAAAAAAAGCATGAAAATATATTTAATCAAAGAATGGAATGAAAGCAAATACAGTACTGAACAAAATCTGAAGCTAGTGCATGTAATCCTGGTAATCCTGTGTATTTGCATTCATGTTAATGTATTTCTTTATTTTCTTCACATTTATCTTGAATGCAAATGACTTGCTGTTAGAGCAGGGAGTAAGTAGGCAAATGTGTTATCCATTATGAATTCTAGTTGCTCAGCAACGGTGCTGGCAGAGCCTTATGATTCAGCCTGCTTTACTGTAAGCAGCCTATTGACCAGAGGACCTCTTAACTTATCCCTAGTGTAGGTAAGTTTTTAAGACAGAAGGCTGGTCCTAAGATTTGGGGAGATTTTTTTTTGCAGTAACGTGAAGGGGGGGAGCTGCATACTGTTCCCTTTCCACCTATGATTTGATTCTCTGCTGCCACATATTCATGACTGCTTCAGATTACCTCTTAGCTGTGACTAATTGCTAATATTGTTGCCACCCACTCCTCACCTGCCTGAGACCCTGTCCCTCTGCATGAAGAGGAAACCACAAAATGCCAGATGAAAACACAGGAGGCCAGTTTCCATCTCCAGCCTTATGTCCGATATGGAAACCAGATAGCAGCACATTGTATATGCAGTAATTACTTGCCCTAACCAAGTTTTTGGTTGTCCTGGACATGCTGCACAAGAGGATTTTTCCCTAGACTGCATTTAGCATTTACTGAACATGAACTAAGTGTTCATTGCACACACACTTAGAGCATTTCAGAGTTGCTTCCATGATTCATTCTGTCACACCCAACAGAACTTGACATGATTAAATGAATTGTGCGGCAAGAGAGAGTTTATTGTCTATGTAGTATAGGAAAATGTTTCTGATTGCAGCTGAGGTGTGTCCAGTCATTTCACCTTGTTCTGTGACCTCTGTCATATCTCACAAGCTAAGCAGGTTTTGACTAGTATATGTGAAGGGGAGAGTTAGAAGAAATACCTGATTCAGGAAGTGGTGGATGGTTGGTGTCTCTCTTTCTCTCGCCTTCTCCCCTCCCGGTACTAAGCTAATGCATCAGCATGCTTGGGGTCATTGTGCTGCTGGCAGTGCCATCTATTAAATGTCCTGGCCAGTGGCATGGAATGCACCTGATGATATGAGAGTAGATTTGAGGTAAAATTTTCATCAAAGCCAGTTGACACCAGTGGATAAATCTGTTACATCAGACTCAATGGCAGATAGGAAGGGTTGGCTTTGCCTATCATGAGACGCTTCTGTTGGCCCTGATTTTATGCAGTCATTGAAGTTACATGGTAAGCTCTTAAGGCAGAGGTGGGCAGTCCTGCCCGGCCCCTGAGCTCCTGGTCCGGGAGGCTAGCCCCGGGCCCCTCCCCTGCTGCCACGGGGCCGGGGGGTTGGATATGGGGCAGGGGGTCCCCAGGGGCAGTCAGAGGACAGGGAGCAGTTCGGGGTGGGGGGGCGGGGAACGGGGCAGTTGGATAGGGCAGAGGTTCGGGGTGGGGTTAGATAGTGGGTGGGGTCCCGGGAGGGGGCGGTTAGGGGACAAGGAGCGGGGTGGGGTTGGATGAGTGGGGAGTTCTCAGGGGGGCAGTCAGGGGGTGGGAGGTGGGAGAGGCCGGATAGGGGGCGGGGCCAGGCTGTTTGGGGAGGCACAGCCTTCCCTACCCAGCCCTCCATACAGTTTCGCACCCCAATGTGGCCCTAGGGCCAAAAAGTTTGCCCACCCCTGTCTCAAGGGCTAGTATTGTTTATATTTCAACTTGAGTAATTACTTTCTTTTTACCGAAAATCTCCATACAAAAGATCAGGAAGGTTGTAAGTTTTCTTTTCTTGTCCCAACTGTTACATACTCTTAGATGCTAAACAGCTGCCTAGTTGCTTAGTTTTACCCAAGAAGTAGCTGCTTTTCTGTAGTGGGTAAACATATATATTTTAGCTATCTGAAAATCTCTGTAGGCTTTGAGATCAATGGCATGATTTAATTGTAAATTAGCTTAATAACTGAAAAGGACACACAGAAAAAGTGTGTCAGGGTAACCTTTTAGGTTTGTTCTTATTTGGTCACTGCCCCAATTTTCCTCCATAATACCAGAAGTTTGAATTTTGAACTGGGTACCATGTTCAGAAAGGGATGACCTATTTGCATAGGAAAGCCAAGAGTATTCAGAGATGTGATGGTATGGGCTTAACCTGTCAATAGCTGTGAGGAATTTGGAGGATATATAATAGTTATGGTGAATATTTATTTTCTTCAGAGGAGCACTACCAATAACTCAATATTAAAAACTGTGTAATTGGATGTCATTGAAATAACTGAGTTTTTTAGTCTCATCATTCAACATATACTTTGCAGTTAGATTTTAAAATACACCTCTACCCCGATAGAACGCTGTCCTCGGGAGCCAAAAAAATCTTACTGCGTTATAGGTGAAACCGTGTTATATCGAACTTGCTTTGATCCGCCTGAGTGCGCAGCCCCGCCCCCCCTCACCCCCACCCCCGGAGCACTGCTTTACCGCATTATATCTGAATTCATGTTATATCAGGTCGCGTTATATCAGGATAGAGGTGTATAAGCAGTTTACTTGCTCATCCCTTTCTGACCGTTTTTTGATCATAGAAATATTGTTCACATAGAGAAGTCTTGTGAATTATGATTCCAATTGCCATGGAATTAGATTTAGAATTTACCTTTAGGGTTAGCTCCAAAGCAGAGATGGTTATTCATGAAAATTTTGCAGTCCCTCAATCTGTTGCTTTAGCATCTGGCATGGAGCATGCCCGCTCACAGCAGATAGAACTCTGCTTCCTGCCAGCCTCTTCCTTTTCTACAAAGGAGACAGAGGCAGTTCTATTTTCAGTGTGCAATCTTGATGAGGAGTTCCCCTTACCAGCCTCTCTGACAAAGGCACTGCAGACCAGTGGCTTCCAACAGTATCCTCAATTCAAGGAACTGGAATATGTCTCCTGCAGCACTTCTGAAAGCCCCTCCCAGCTACTCCCTATCCCCAAGTGCCTGGCTTTCGTTTTGCACTTCATTCCCACAGTGCTCCTCTCCATTGCCTCCTTCCACTTCCCAGATAGCTAAAAGGAGGGTTGTAAATATTCTATATCCGTCGCCTAGCAGCCAAAAGGGAGTACAACATGCTGAACTTAAATTCTAGTGGGGTCCCCTGGCTTTTGCTGCACCCTCATGCTGGATCCTGTGGCACGCTGGGAATTAAGCAGCAACCTGAAATGCGTGGGCAAACATTAACAAAGGCTTGTAATAATGAAATATTAAGAGAGTGATGGTGATAAATAAAGCTAAGATTTTGTCATGGATATTTTTAGTAAAAGTCACGGACAGGTCGGAGGCAATAAAGAAAAATTAATGGAAGCCCATGACCTGTACCTGACTTTTACTACTAATCTCCATGACAAAATGGGGAGCTCAGCTGCGGGGTACCCACATCCCCTGCAGAGGCTGAGCAGCTGCGGGGCCACTTGGAACTCTGCTCAGAGCTCTGTGGGAGGGGGGACTGCCCCTGGCGGCCGGGTGCTGCGGGATACCCTACTCGGCGGCAAGGGCGCTCTGCAGGTGACTGGGGGACACTGCTGCTCCCAGCCTCTGGGGCTGAATTCACGGAGGTCGCTGGAAGTCACGGATTCTATGACTTCCGCAACCTCCGTGGAAAAAATCATAGCCTTAGTTATAAATTCATTAAAACTCTTTTTTCAATAGTTTTTCTCTGTATTTTGCATTGCTGCAGACCTTCAGTAGCCTATAGCAAGTACCTTTGCTGCACAGTTTAGCGCTACTCTGCAGCAGAGTACATGGAACCATGCATGTAAGTATAACTCTGCTCAGTAGTGTGCAGAATATAATCATGCTAAACTATGAGCTCATCCCCTTGAGAAAAGGAAGTGGGCACATAAAACAAAATTGATTAGACAGTTCCTCTTAAATTTCGTGCCTTCTTGGCCTTGATGGCTCTCAAAACACAAGTGTTTGTCTCAATGACAAATAAGTACATTCTACTATTTAATTCGTTCATCATCATATATTGACTGTAATTGACGTATGCTGTGTAATCTTGCATAGGTAAATTTGCTCGCAGTTCATTTTGCAGATCAAAATTAGTATGAAGGTACATCATGACCCAGTCATGTAATGATTTTCCTTTAAGTATAATGGAGTAAGTGGCTTTAGTTTGCTAGAGATGTGCTTGAAATAAATTTAAAAGAATTAAATTTAGCAATCACTTTTTTATTTATAGTGCTTGTTATCCAAGAATTTCATAGTAGGTATATATTATCCCCTTTTTACAACCTGTGGAATTGAAGGCACAGAGATGTGAAGTGACTTGCCCAAGGTCTGTCAGTGGGAGAGCCAGGAAGAGAAACCATTCCTTTGACACTCATTTCTCCTTTTGAAAAACCAGACCATGCTGCCTTCCTTAGTTTTTTCCCAGTCCAGTAGATACCAAAATAATTTATTATTTTTAATTCCTGAATTTAAAACTGTGGCTCTTCATTCATATTAAAATATCTTTCATACTTAAACATAGACACATACATGACAACCATATTTCCACAAATAATAACTTTGTTTAGTGAAACAGGTTTAATTTACTTTATTTCCCCTCACCCTCTTTTGCATTTCATTTTAACATAGAGGATCATAACAGCTGTATTACAAGAATCACTGATTGGCAAATCAAGCCAGAAAAAGCAGATATGTTACAGGCCTTTTATTTTTTCTGGATGTTTAATGATAAAACATACATAAAACCAATACATAAAATTCCGATGTTTTATTTTTGTGCAAGGAAAATTAAAAATGTAAATACAAAATAAGCACATTTCATAAAAACAAAGCATTTGATAGGTTAGTTTTACTCAATACAACATTAAAATAAGTAGCAGCTTAGTATAGAGCAGAGTCAGAATTTCAAAACTGAATTTCTTGTATTTGATTCACTCTTAGACTTGGATGATTTTGCTCCAACTATTTCTCACTGGAGTAAATTTGTTAATTTTCAGAAGAAAATGCAAGCCCTTGGCCAATCAGAACTGCCACTGCATTAAGCATTACAACATAGAATGAATACACCTCACAAATGCTTGCTTTGGAGGGCGCATGAGTGTTAAAAATATTTGTGGTGGACTCCTCTTTCCTTAAGGTAGCAGTTGTGCTTTGTGCAGGCATTTTAGAGTAGTTTGTTAGCATTCTGCTGGTAATACTTAGGGTCATGGGAGTAGCGGATGATCCTGTTGAACTCATCATGCTTGAGTTCACATCAGTTGAATTTTTAATGTAGATAGTGTGTGTGGCTGCTGCTTCATGCGAACTAATTTTCCGAGTAGTCGGAACTTCTGGATAGAGGAGTAATGGTCTATCTGTGCTTGTAAATAATACTGTTTGGCTTAAAGTAGCACTTAATGTAACTTCATTTGCTCGAAATTGTTCACGTATTTTTGTCACTTGGATTGGGTCAGTTGCCATTGGAGAGCCATTTGTGTCTACTGCCTTTGTTCCTTTACCCATGAGGTTAGTGTCTGTAACTGTGGGAGCAGACAAAAGTGGGGTGGCATTAATCCAAGACATAGTTTGATTGGGGCATGGAGGCCCTATCACAATGGCTGCTGTTTCCTTCACCCACTTGAGCAAGTAAGGGATATTTTGCTTATCGTTGCATGACCATGGGTTGTTATAAAGTGTTATGACTTGTAGTTGAAAGAGCCGATCAAAAGCTTTGTCAGGAATATATGTGAACTTGTTGTTGTGCAGATAAACGTTTGTGAGGTGTAGCAGCCTCACCAGTGTTCCTGGAAGTATTTGTGTTAAGAAGTTGTTTGATAGATCCACCGTCTCTATGTTGTAGGGCATATTGGTTGGAACTGTCCAAAGTTTGTTGCTACTGAGATTGAGAAACTTGAGACTGCTCAATGTATTGTTGATAAGTACCGCTCTTTCTACCATATTCCTGGAAACGTCAAGCACTTTAAGATTCCACTGGTAAGCTGTATCAAGTTTCTGAAGAACTTTAATATTGTTACCCGTGGCATATATTTCCCATAGAGACTTGGGCAGATGAGCAGGAATGTTCTTGAGCCAATTATTTGAAATATCAAGGGTCCTCAAATTGGTGAACTGAGTCAGCTGATGATCAAGATCAACAAAGTGGTTAAAAGACAGATTTAAATATGTAATGTTCTCTTGAAGTTCATGTGGCAGTGTAGTCAAGTTTCTGCTAGAACAGTCCACATTTCTGTTGTTTCCTGAGCACGTACACTTAGAAGGACAAATGCACAGAACAGTGGGAATAAAAATCAGAAGGACCAGTAGACAAGGACGTGTTTTCAGTATCTGGTATTCCATTGTTGCCTGAAATTAAATATACCAAAGTGACACCCTTATAATATAGATAATATACTTAATGCATTTGTAAGGGTCATCTTTGCACTGATGACTTGCTGGAGAAATTGGGTTTAAAAAAAAATCTAAAAATACCCTTTGTGCTATAGTTCTTTTTATAATTGTTTACAAAGCATCCCTCCATTTACCGGTATGTGGCAGAATGAGACTCATTTTTTCATCTTTCCCCCTTAAGCTCAATTGTGGGCTTTCTTTCTAAAATGAAAGTCTATTCCAAATGTTATACAATGTCTGCTTTGTTTTTTAGTGATTTCAAGCCTATGTTATCTTAGGAATAATGTGCTCTTTTACACAGATGGATGAAAAAATGGCTGTCAAATGGATCTGCCTTAAAAATCTCTGCAGTAATGTAGCAATCCCACACAAACACACACACATGCACACTGTATTTGTCTTTAATAAGATTTGTTGAAGTTCCGCTAGATAATGTGTTACAAACTCATTTGAAACCTGAAATCCGGATTCCACATCTCTATTCCAAAATAGACATTAGTAATGTCCTTCCTTTATATAACTTTACTCCCATTCTCTAAATAGTCTAATAGCCAACATGTATATTTGAAACCAGAATTAACATTGGAATGAAATCTAACTGTCACTGCAGCAAATTTCTGGTGCATGCAATTGTTATAGACCAGTATTTTCAGTCTTATTTCCGAATCTTTAATTTTGCAGTAGGTCTTTTGCAATTAAAAACAAACGAAAAACCCCGCACTTACCACAGTCCCTTCTGCAGTATCAGTGCATCATTTCTCTGAAAGATTATGCTTAAAGGTTGCCTTGTTCTGGAGAGTAGCTACAGTTCCTCTCTGTGGATTGTGCGTTCCTCTTCAGCTGCATCATATTGCTGTTAGCAGGGGCTCTGCAACCACCTGATCAGCACTACATTGGAGGACTGCAGAGCTGTTGTTGGTGCTGACTCAAATTTATTGCAAGGGGTGCATGCTCAACAAAATAGGTTTTTAATTGAGTTACTAAACTTCTCTATATGCATCTTTTTCAAGATGTGGCTCCATCAAAATAAAACCTGTAAGTTTGACTACACAAATAACAGCCAGTAGAATTTCTGTAGCTCAGTTTTGCTTAATTGCTGATTTCCCCCTAAAAGCCTATTTACAACTGCTGTTCATATCTGCTATGTTGTTGGTACCTTCATTTGAATCTACACTTTTGTAATAATGTCTTTACCAATTAACTCTGGCTTCCTCTGCTTCAGCCTTCTTAAACTATACTGCCCAAGTCTTTCGTAATACTTTCAAGTTGGCAGTATATATAAAATTTAATTTTCCCTTGCTAAAATGAGATTGTCAGTGTATTCTATCAGCTACAGTATAGTACTGTTTGGGATTTTTACAAATATCCTCAGTGAGACTTTATTTATTTAAATTTCCCCCAAACAATCAATGTACAGCTTTATGCTATTCGTTTTTAATTTGATTATATAATGCATGCATTTAAAATCCTTAATTTTTATAAAACTTTTCCTTCTGACACATTGTTTCTGGCATCTTCTGTAGCTACTTTTATCTTAGCTTTTCCTCTGTCAGTGAACAAAATGTAGATGTAAAACTTAATGTTTATTGTCAATGACAATTTGAAAAAAAAGCTTTGCAGTCGTTTATCTATTTTTGTATTATGTGCTAACAATACGCTCTGTGCAGCATGTACAGATGCATACTCCCTGCTCCAAAGAGCTTGCAATCTTAGAATTATAAACGGTTTCCTTTTTTGCCAAAATGTTATGGACAGCTGGTTTCAGCATCTGGCAGCTTATCCCTATGAAACTAAATATTGAGTGTGCTAAATTCTATTCTGGATCATATATCCTCATCAAAATAGTTAATTAAGATCCAAATACAGGGTCATGTTCTGCTACCCCATTATTGATAAAAGGGCTGCTCAGGTGAAACTTAAGGCGGAATTTGGCCAGCAGAAGCTTTATTACCGATGTTGATCCATGAGACAGACAGAATACAGTTGAATTGAATTTCAGCTTGACTTTTCAGAGCTGGCAGTTAGAAAAACATCTTTATTTTTAAACTGAGTGAATTACATATTTAAGTTATTATGGGACAATAAACTTGGAATCCCAAGGCGCCATATTTTACAGGAACTCCCTTTTCAGAGTAGAGGTACTTTTTAAAGAACAGACTCCCTTCTTTGACTAATTTATTTTTTTCAAACCAAATCAGATTTTATTTAAATGTTGTATAATTTCTTCCTAAAATCTTGGAAGAATCCACTTTATGGAAAATCTGGATTCGTAATACAGGCTGCTGGTATTTTGAGCCTCTTTTTGATTAATCTTAAATATGGACTTTTCATGCTAAGTCCTATTAGGATTTCAGTTTCTTGGTTCAAATTCTTTGATCTTTAAAATGATTGCAAATGTATTCTCCAGATCTGCTTACATATAAATAAGTTTTATATTCTGCCACATACGGTTTTGCTATATAGCACACAGAAGAATTCTCTTGAGCAAGATCCATTATAAAATTCCACAAAGGTTCATCTTTGCAGAAACCGTTATTTCACCTGAAGGTTACGGCATTGTAAATGTATTCGTCAATCAATATTCTTTGTCCAAACATACAGTACATGAAAGTTAACTCTGAGGCTCATGGCATGTTGTATTAATTTAACTCTCGTGAAGGTAAATTATGTCCTTTTCATTAAGACTTGTATGTTACAGCTAAAAAAGTGTATTGTGCTCAGAGCTTTTCACAAAGTTGTTTTGCAAACTCTGGGCCTAATTCTGCAATCTTTACATGTAAAACTCCATTTGACTCCAGCTAAAATCGTAGGATTTGGTTCTCTTTAATAGTATTACACCTTTACCCTATTCCTTTGAGAACTTATGCTCAGTGACGTTTGTTGCTCTTAGTTTAAAATCCATCTGAAGTCTAATTCTTTCAGTTTTTTTATATGTACTAGTAATAGACTTCCTCATTCTCTTCTTCCCCTCTTTTTGTACCACATTGCACGTTGCTCATAATTACTCCAGATGCACTTTATCTTCCTGTTACACATGCTAACATATAACCACATTACCCAGCCTTTGTACTCCTCTGAAATGAGTGGATGAAGGAATAGACCTTCATTGTATGTCTTGATCTTTAAATGTTGCATAGAGTTTAAATCAATTTTCTCCAAACTAACATTTATAACATGTCTCAATAAGCATAAACACTGCAGTAGGCTTGTGCCCCAGTGATAAGTATTTCACTTTGTCTGAGGTTTTTTAGGAAACCTACAACCACCTAGCGCTCTGCTCTGTTAAGCTACAAATACAAAGCTCCTTCCTCTTTGTGAACGCACTCGTTAATAAAAGTTAACATTTCTTACTGTTCTAGCAAAAAATGAAGAGTCCGTACACTAGTAATTTTTCTTTCGAGTGGGTGAGAGAGAAAACCACTAGACTCCTTTTGAATTAATCCAGCATGATGAATCCACAATTAGCATTGATAGGGTCTCAGTCTTTTTACTGTAAATAACTTTTCCAGGGTTAATTCTCTTACAGATGGCAATGTTTGTAATGGACCTCAAGGCTGCAAAAAACCCTGGTATTATAAAAAAGACTGAAGAGATGCTGGCAACTAAACACCTATTGGAAATAAGTTCAGTTTTCAAATGACTGATCAGTTTAAAAAAAAATAAAAATAAAAAGGGTTCCTCTCCCTTTTGGATGGATGTTATGAGGGCTAGTTGTTGAAATGCTTTGCGATACTTCATTTATGTGCTATAGAAGTGCCAAGTAGTGTACAGTAAATAAACCTAAATGTATATGGAAAACATATAAGTTTGTAAGTGTGTCCAGGCACTGGAGTTTTGCTGCTAATCAGAGATTTTGTGTTTAATCAAGTGAAAATTTAGTGAATTTTAATTTCAGTACAAGTCACCGAGACGCCTTTGTATTCAAACATTTTATTAAAATTAAATGTGAAGTGTGCTGCTGAAGTGACTGTTAATTCAAGTTATACAGCCCGGAAAAGCAAACATAAAAGTTAGAAGCTGTCTTTCTATAAAGCTGGACTCATTGCATTTTGAAAACTGTATATATGAAATTTCTTTTTCTATAGCTTTTAAAATCTGTAAATACTAGACCACCATTTAAGTACTTGGTCCCGATTTTTCCTTTAGCTACCGTCCATACCCTGTATTGAAGTGATTAGTTTCAAACAGATCAGTAGGCAGTTTCCATCTGTAAAAAGCTGATGTTTAATAAAAGCTGTAACTTCATATAGTTCTTATCTATCTCCACTTCTCACGTAATCATTTGCTTCAAAACACTTTTAAGAAGGATGTGAAGTATGTTGCAAAGCAGGCTCCTTCAATTTATCCAGGGTCTGGTCATGCTGGTGGTGGCAGCAATGGTCAATTTACATCTTGATGGGTTAAGTCAGGAGGAGGGGGAAACTGGCTCTGTGCTTCTGATTGAAATTCAAGGGATTTGCTGATTTCGGGACAGTGATTCTCCTGGACTTCGTTAAGCCAGTCAGGTGGAGGTGGCAGATCAAGTGACTCAGGTGGGGGAAGGATTGGGTTGAGTGGAGGGTCGCATACATCACCCAGTCCATCTGAAACAGGAGGTGGGGGCCCATTGATAATATTTGAAGAGGAAACCAAAATGTTGTTGGCTAATGGGCCAGAACCTCCCTTTAGTGTATCTTGATTGGGTAAGTCAGGAGGAGGGGGAAACTGGCTCTGTGCTTCTGATTGAAATTCAAGGGATTTGCTGATTTCAGGACAGTGATTCTCCTGGACTTCATCAGGTGGAGGTGGCAGATCAAGTGATTCAGGTGGGGGAAGGATTGGGTTGAGTGGAGGGTCGCATACATCACCCAGTCCATCTGAAACAGGAGATGGGGGCCCATTGATAATATTTGAAGAGGAAACCGAAATGTTGTCGGCTAATGGGCCAGAGCCTCCCTTTAGTGTAGGGGTGGATTGGTTGCTCTTCTCCTTTGTGTTGCAGCTGGGTGGCTTCTCAGGCCTGCCTTTTGATTCAGAGTTTTTAGAATCATCCAGGGGCGTGTTTTTGTTAAATTTCCATGGCAAGATAGAGAGAACTGATGTACGTTTTGTGGCCATCTCCATGTCTTTAATATTCTCCACAAAGATATCAGGTGTGTCTCCATCTGCAAATGGAGAGCGACCTGCCCAGTTTGGATCAACTCGAGTTGGCTTTTTTGAGCATTTCCACAGCAGAATTATGATAATAACTATCATCATACCACACAAAATTATGCCAATTAACATTGCAGCTATCCAGCTCCCATCACTGGGTTCACTTTCTTCTGTTGTAGTGGTCTGAGGTGTCATGATAGCTGCTGATGGCTCTTCAGTTTTGTGTAAGATGGCAAGTTCATTTGATTGGTACAGGAACCTGGGAGCTGTATTTCCTTTATTTTTTTTCAAGATTGACCAATGTTCTCCTTGATTGTGTCAGAAAAATAGTTGACGATAGGTTTGTTGGCGGCCTCTGTATCTCTGTAGAAAGTTATCTCCACAATTGTCCATAGGAGAAAATTAGGATTATATGGTTGGTGTTCATTTCCCTTCTGCTGATCATATGCAGTGTGATGTTATCTTCTGCAGTAAAAAGAGAATAAAATACAGTTAGCTTTAACTTCAGAGTTATAATATAGATTTCTGTTTTATAATTAAAAGCTTGTTTATCTTCATTAATTTGCTTTTGACTACCAACAGTAAGATTGATGTAAATGGCAGAACTACTACTCTTTTAAAACACCATTTCTGCTTCTGTTGAAATGAATGTCCGGTTTGTGACTGACTTGAGGAGGAGCAGGGACACTTCTGACGTCATTGATCCTAAATTTCCTCTTGTGTGGTTTTGTTTAAAAAGGGAACAGCCACAATGTTCTTTCCAAGTTGCCAAAAAAGGACTAGGAGAGAAGACTGTAAAAAAGGTCAAAGTAGTGATCTGTATGGATTGTCACATTTCCTTGAAAAGTTCAGATCCTCACTTTTAAACAGGAAATTAAATGCAAATTAAATGCTCATTACAAAAGTGATTTTGCATTGTTTAACATTTGTTAGTTACAAGTAACATCCCTAAATGTATTGTACTTTCTTTTCTATACTTTCAACCTTTATCTTGGATTCTCAGTTCTCTTTATAAATTAATACTTGAAGCATATCTGTTTAAAATTATGATTTTCTGCTACAGTTACTGGCATGGAACTAGAATTTCAACAGTAGATCATTGTTATAAATGGACTCCTGAATACATAATGTTTTTTGGAATGAGAGGTAAAATGTTAATATAAATTCACTTGCTGTAATGGAGTGGAGTTTTTTGCTATTACTGTTTAAAGTTCAAGCATCAGTCTAAATGATGAGATTAATAAAGGACATATTCTGTATGCCCAATTCATCCTGCTTCTTTTGATCTACCTTCCATATTTAAATTGCATGAAGAGAACATTTATTGGTAAATTAACGTTGAGAACTCAGTTCAGTGTGCATATTATTAATAAAAGCACAGATGTTTTCATGTACATGTTAGTGTTTACCAGAGCATAAACACATCCAGGCAGTAAGTTAAAACTTCTGGGAACATGTCAAAATACTGAATTAATGTTTAGACTTGCAACAGGTAAAAATATTTCACTCATTTGTGCTTACTCTGCTCTCCTTTTCTACATGTGGACTTCATCAGAGCTCAGTAAGATACTGATAAAAATGTTCACAGCTGTTAACCTAATAATTCACAGGGGAAATTCCGGGTAATCTAAAATTAACTGTTGATTAGACTTTGAACTTGGTTTTGAGACTTATTGGTTCTAATAGCAATATTTGAACAGTATGGAGAGATCTTCAGAACAATAACACATTGAAGAAAACCATTTCCTAAAACAGAATACCGTACACGAGTTATAAATTCATTACAAAATATTCTACACCATCAAGTTGCAAAATACAAGTTATTTAATGTCACATCAACAACTAGGTAGCCAAAGCAGTTAAATCTTAGCATATGAAAACTGTTCCTTACCTGTACAATAATGTCTCTTGTATTAAACAGGCTTCACATACTAAGTTAACATTTTGCTGTTTCAAAACTAAAGCTGTCAGAATGGGTGTTGCACATTAAAGAGCTCTAAAAGGGTCCGCTGTTCTCACGTGGAAAGTTTTTTGCATAGAAAGAGGAAGTTTATCAACACTTGCTGCCGGAAGTGTCAAGATTAGAGAGATGACTAAGAATTAATGTTCAAAAGTCGCATACTTGAAGACCAAATTTGGAATATGTTGTTGTGTGTTTAAAAAAAAAAAGTGTAAATAGTCATGTTCGCAATTTTTGCGTAAGATATGCTTAGTAGTATTAAGGTTTATGTGCCTGTGTCTGTAGAGAAAACATGAGCAATAGTAATTTTATATATTAAGTAGAAGTAGATTGAGGCTAACACAATCTTATTCGTACTTTCTGTGCTTTTCTGGTGAAGTGCAACAGTTATTACTGTTCAAAGAGACTAAAATAAAAATGATTTAGCTCAGTTCTCAAATGGTGGTCTGTGGAGAGCTGGCTGATCACATGGTGCTGGTTCCCTTCTGTATTTTCGTTTCCTGAATTGCATTAAAAGGCAGCTAAAAACACATTAAAAACTTTCCTATTACTACTGTTCCAAATAGGCGATTTTTGTAGTTGCCACACTGTGTGACTGCAATTGGGAGGGGTTGTGCTCTGTGAAATCAGCAGGGCTCCTTTTGATCAACGTCAGGTGCTTGAATCCTGCAAAAAATGCAGGATAGTAGCTACTGTATCCTTGTAGATTAACAGAGGGTGGAGTGCCTCTCAGAAATAGAGGGGATTAGGAGCAAATGTGCAGAGGAGTGCTGTATTTGGGTGTACAATAGTCAAATCATAGAAATAAGTTTAGACTGTATGTGCATTTTATACATTATGTGCAGAGCAGGGAGGGAACTCCTCCTTAAATATTTCTTTCATAGCAAGTTAGACATCACTGACTCAAGGGGCTTTTTGAAAAAGTAATGTGCAGTATATGACATTTACATGCATGTGAAAGAACTGGTGTATGGTAAAATCACTTTTTAAATGAGACTCTCCATTAGGGTTACCAGACGTCCAGTTTTTCCCGGACATGTCCGGCTTTTTGGTAATCAAACCCCCGTCCGGGGGGAAATTTCCAAAAAGCCGAACATGTCCGGGAAAAATACTCCCAGCCTCTGGCATCCCTGGTTTACCTTAGAGCGGGCTCCGGTGGCTGCTGTGCTCCCTGACTCCTCGGCTCTGTAAGAGCCGAGCTGCCCGAGCGCTACCGGCTTCAGGCAGCCCCCATATCTCCGGACCATGTGCCCCCGGCCGGGCACTCCCCCTCCCGGGCTCCGGCGGCGGCTGCTGTGCTCCCTGACTCCTCGGCTCTGTAAGAGCCGAGCTGCCCGAGCGCTACCGGCTT